TTTGTCAGTGATTTTCAAACAAAAAATAATAATTATTATTAAATTTATTTTAATTAAAAATATATATATCATGTATGTGATTTTTTAAATTAAAAAAAGATTTAAATCTATTGGTGAAATTTATTTTAATTAAAAATAATATTTTTTATTTTTTTTAGTTTAAAAAATCACTGATAAAATATATTTCCGGATTTTTTTCACTATTTTACCACTTTATCGTTCAAAATATGAATGTTCATTGGAGTTTTTTCCGGATTTTTTTCACTATTTTACCACTTTATCGTTCAAAATATGAATGTTCATTGGGGTTTTTTCCCCTTTTTTTCACTATTTTACCACTTTAACTAGTTGTACAAGTCATAAGAATGTATCCAACATGTTTTATAAAAGTTCAAGAAGTTATTTAACATGTTTTGGATTGTTCAAGRACTTATTTGTTYCAAAAATTGTCCAAAGACTTATTTAACATTTTTTGGAATGTCCAACGACTTATTTGTTTCAAAAATTGTCCAAGGACTTATTTAACATATTTTGGAATGTCCAAGGACTTATTTGTTCCAAAAAAATTGTCCAAGGACTTATTTAACATGTTTTGGAATGTCCAAGGACTTATTTGTTCCAAAAAAGAGTCCAAGAACTTAATTATTCCAAACAAAAAAGTCCATTGCTTTTTATCGTATTTTTCTCTTATTGTAATTGGGTGGGTTGATCAAGAGTGGAGAAGAAATACCTCAAATCTGGAGGATGGAGCGGCCATTGATTACGATACTCCGTGGTCTGTTCATCGTCGGGATCATGAGACGCCGGCATCGTCGTCGGAACCTCCACCGTGAAATCAAATACTTCCTTCCAGTCCCTCACGTTTTTGGTATGTTCAGTATCGTAATAACCTAACGGATTCGCTTCATCTCTTCTCACCTTTCTCTTCTCCTCTGCCGTCTGATCGAAAAACCTCTTCGCCGCCGACTTTACCTTTTCACTGCTCTCGATTGGAACCCCGTGGTTGATGACCTGGAAGAATCCCCAATTCTTGCATGCGTTACGGACGTCAGCCACCAGATCTTCTAGATCACTGCCGACAGGTGACGAGGAGTTTTGCAGCGTGGAGAGATCGATTTGGGGGATGCCATGGGCTTCTATTACAGCAGGTTTAGGTCTGTGTTGTAGTTCTTGGATGAAGGTTGGATCAACTTCTCCCATGGCTGATGCTGATCGGTGATTTGAGATGATCAGAGAGAAACTGAAGAATTTAAAGGATGTTGTTGGGAAAAGATTATGAATCGGGACTGGTTTTTGAGCATCATGCATGGAGATCATTATTGGTTGATACTTTTAGCATGTATTCATCGTATGCATATAACACCAAATAATCAACGATGGTACACGATTATCTCCAATATATTTAAATATTTTTTAAATTCAAAATTAAAAAATAATCCTTTTAAATTACATTCAATTTTAAAAACCAGTTCCTTCGCTGATCTCTTACCGATCAACGAGAGGAATTGCCAAAAACCAGTTCCTTTGTTGATCTCTCGCTAGTTCCCTTGTTGATCCCCCGTTGATCAGCGATGAAATGGCCAAAAATTAGTTCCCTCGTTGATCAATTATTAATTAATAAATATTTGTTATTTATTACTATATTTGTTTTCTAATAAATATAATTAATAATTTAATTAATTACTAATTATTAATCAATTAATATTGAAAGATTCTCTCGCTGATCCGTCGCTGAAAATTTCTCTTACTAATCCATCGCTGGTAGCATTACTTACAAGCTTTTAACTGACAGACAATCAGCGACAGATCAACGAGTTAATTTTCCCTTGCTGGTACCCTTAACTTTTATAGTTGTGTTGTGGATCTTAAATGAAGGTTGGATCAACTTCTCCCATGGCTGATTGATGATTGATTCAGATTAAAAAAAAAACTGAGGAATATAAAAGATGGTGAAGATGAATTTGGATGGGTATTTGTGCATGGTTCATGGAGTTTGGTTATCGTATCATTTTCATTTAAATAATGGTGGCTGATTGAGATTGATAAGCGATTTGAAACAATTCGTCTGAGTGTTCACTTATGACTTAATCAGCTTAATGGATGTTTTGGCTTATTCACACAATCATGTATGAATGTTTACTTGTGGCTTAAGGATAAAATAATGCGTTTATTCGCACAATATGGTGAGGACGTGTTGTCCCCATTAAGCCAAAAAAGAAAATGACAATTATACCCCTTCAATCCCACGCTTCCCCCTTTCCCCTTTCATTTCACTTCAAATCCTAGCCAACGTCGCTTCCAAAACGGCACTGCACCTCTTAACTCAACGATGGCGGTTTAGGACATTTTTTTAAACCAACAAGTGATCAAACCAGACTAAAAAAACGCTCTGTTATATGTTTTAAACTAAAAAATTGAGCAAGTTGAAAAGGAAAAAGAAAATTAAACGAGTCCACCAACAATAGTTTGAATTTTGGACCCACATTAAGCAAGTTGAAAGACGTTTATTGGATTCTGATTTTTGACGGATTTCGTATTTTTTTTCCTATTTAATTGCGGACAATTGAGAAATTAAAAAATAACTAATCTCTTGTACAGACTTTTTTAATTGTTCCATAAAACATGAACCTACATGAAAACTAAATAAGTAAATGTAATTAATATATGTGTATTTTAGCAGTCGATTTCGTCCAAACTCGTCTTGGCTATTTTTCAAGTCGGATCGAACTGTCAGACCGTTTAAATCGCAAAAACTTGGCAGGTTTAATTTGGTTTAATCGATTTGAACGGTTCATCTGTTTTTTTGTACAACCTACCAAAAGAATAAGAAAAACAACATAACCACAAGGGTGGTGCTTGATTGGTTTGAGCTTGGCTCCAAAGGTCAAAAATATCAGGAGGTCTCAGATTCAAATCCAATGAGGAATAAAAATCTTCTTGTGGTCACGGAGGTTCAAATACAGCGACTCCGGGATATCTGCAAAGCAGACGGTCGTCCTGGGATTAGTCGGCTCGCATAGCGGGTTGGATATCCAGATTAATCAAAAATAATTTTATAATTTTCAGGATGTGCAATCGCACCCTCTCGATAAGACATGGCTCCACCACATAATGATAAGACGTGTTTGTATACTGTATATTGTCACACAAAAAATGTGATATCAATTTATGAAAAATCGTAGCATATAAAGACGATTTTGAACAGAGTCATCTTGTAACGTTCTTTGTGCATAATTATTTTTTAAATAATTAATATATTAAAATGATAATTATTATTTTTTAAAGAATTTAAAATTTTGTTAACATTTGGGTATATTTTGGTTAATTTCAGTTGACTTGTTTGACCTATTTTTCAGCTAAATTGAATTTCTTTTTTCAAATAAGTTACAATAAGATTTAATTTAAATTGACTTACTTTTATATAAATAAACTAAAAGCGTCATATAATGTTATTGTGAAACCACATTTGGTATATTTGAAGCCATAGTGACGTTTGGTTTGCAGAATGTTTTTCGATGAAATGGAATCTGTTAAAGAATTTGGTCAATGGAATATTTTCGGAATATGTGAACCAAACGTCATCTTAGTATCTTGTAATGATACACAACTGTATATGATATCACTCTTCTAAAAATTGTATAAAAAGTAATGGAATAAACCAGATATTTTTATTTATATAACAAACATGATATCTTATAAATGAAAATGCAGTCAATCAAATCTTAGTAACTAGTTTCATGTATTTTCTATAAAGAGAATGGTATATTTAATAAAATTTTCAAACATCCACAACAATTATGCCCGCTGATTTATCAAGGCTGATATTTTACAGTAGCAAATTGTCGAGATTTGTTTGGATATGGCCTGGGATACCCTTCCAAACAAAACTTATCCATGAGAAATCAAGACTAGAAGACCCTAATGGTGCATTTGGTAAGCACGGTACTAGTTTAAAGATCCACTCTCCATCGGTTTTTCGCTTAACTTCTAGACCTCCATCGTCGTTGTGAGCCAAGATGGTTAAAGCAATGGCATCTATGTGCCAGCCAGCACTAGTGATGGTCAAACTGGTCCGACCCGCCCAGGAACACCGGAACCGGGACCGGTTCTTGATTTGTCATTTTTACATATTAACTAATCACACCACTCAAAGTTTAATGGATTCACACGCGTCATGGGTCTCACGGACAGTTAAAATGAAGTTGCAAGGCCCTTTCAAGTTTTATTTAGAATATTTGATCACAAATTTTCAATATAATACTAATATATATGTGTGTGATTTTTCTTTTTTTAACATGAATGTATTTTCAAGTTTGGTTTGTGTCGTGGGCCTCATGAGAAGCCCACATCACGGTCGGAACTTCGACCGTGATGTCAAAAACCTCTTTTCAATCCTTGACGTTATTCGTAAGTTCGTTATCAAAATAGCCTTGAGGATCCACTTCATCTCTTCTCACCTTCCTTTTCTCCTCCATCGGCTGATCGAAAAACCTCTTTGCCACCGTCATTAGCCTTTCACGGCTCTCAAGCGGGACCCCATGGTTGAACACCTGGAAGAATCCCCAATCTTTGCACGCATGGACCTGATCAACCACATCTTCTACCGCCATAGCAGGAGACCGCGAGTTGATCAAAGGGGAGAGGTCGCTCGGGCTTTTTGGTTACTACAAGTTTAGGTCTGTGTTGTGGGTCTTGGATGAAGATTGGATCAACCTCTCCCATGGCTGATTGATGGACTGAGATCATAAACTGATGAATCTAAAAGATGGTCATTTAGGCATAGTCCAAACATGAAGTTTGGATTGGATACATCATTTTCATTTGAACTAATCCTGGCTGATTGAAATTGATAACGTATTTGTAACAATCGGGCTGAGATATTCAGCAACACATCACAAACGACAATACCAGAAGATGTTCACGGTCCGGTTTGACCCCCCCATGACACAAACCAAACCGTAACCGAACGGTTCGGCAGCAAGTGATCGAATCCATGTATACAAATAGATTTCCAAAAAAAATGAAGTGTGATCGAATCCCTATGATACGTGCAAGTTGGCAAGAACACCCAAAAAAATAAAGTGTGAGAACAACTTGAACTTATTTGTAGTCAAATGGGAAGTAATATTGAAATGGGATTTTGTCTTTTTTAAGGTTACCTGGGAGAAGTTCAAATCCATGTATACAAATAGATTTCCAATCCCAAACTATATACAAAAGGAGAATTTGAATAATCTAACCTATGTAGTAGCAGCAGCAGCAGCAGGAGGCATGGAAGTCGAAAGAATGACGTACGCCAAAAAACGTAGGCCTTCCTGAATTTTATCCATGGCTGTCGTCCGATTAACACGTATATCCTCAGAAAACGACTTCACTTTATCTTGAATTGATTTCTCCGGTACAACTACGTCAGGAGAATCAGCAGTAGCGGATTTGATGGCTGCTGCATAAGCTTCGGCTACATCTGATATGCCTGTTCGGTCCATCGAGATTAGCAACATCAATATCGTAAACGAAATCCCTTTTCAAACCAAAGAGTCTACAATTACAATCTTGAACAGGATCAAATCATAAAATAAATATTAGAAAAACTAAAAATTGAATCTCATTACGCAGTGTTTTCTTCAGGTGGATAGAGATACAGCCGAATCATACTGGTAAACCCCTAAACCCTAAACCAATATAATTTTCTAGTTCGCCTATGTGCAAAAAGAAGTCATAATGATTTTAAAAATTTCTTATAATTTAATCCATAACAATTTTTGCATTGAACCCACAAATGCCTGTATTTTTGAGTTACATCCGGATCAGTAGAACTTTCTGGTATAGTTTTACCACTCGTTCTGTAGATAGCACAAAGATGTCTAATGCTATGGTATTGGCACAATCTGTTGAACATGATCTGTATCATCGCTACGAAAACATATGTTTAAAGAGGATATATTGAGCATAAACCCAAAGAAGAATATAACGTTTATTTCTTATGTTGTTTCATTTTATGGCGAGGGCCATTATGGCATGGTTGATGTGGGCCACAGGAAGGAAAATACGTAAAGCCTAACAAAGCATACCATTTCCCGAAATTCTTGCTAGGATCAATTGCGTCTATTTCAAGCAATCTTCATGGCAAGGAAAAACAGGAATTCTTTGCTATCGCCCTAAAAGGTCAACCTATGTCATTTTTCCTAAATGGAAAAAAATGATATGGTACAAAAATGGCATCTCATGGTTTCAGTGTGTAACATCCTGATTTTTGTCCCAGTTGAAGAAAGTGTTGAACCGAGTGATCTAGTAAAGATAAGTTAATTATGGAGTTTGACTACAGTGCCATGAGATAGTGACGTCTGTCACAATACCAATGGTACTAAGAGTATGGTTGTCTCAACTATTGTGTCATGCGATTGTGACATCTGTCAAAATAGCACCCATGGTATTGAGAGTATTGTCATCTCGAATATTGTGCCATGTGGTTGTGACATCTATCATGGTAGCACCGGTGATACCGAGTGTTTGGTGGTCACGACAATTGTGCCATGCAATAGTGACACTGGCACAATATAACAACCCGATCTTTGGTAAGGTGAAATCCCAAGTCCTATATGTGTTTCACCATTAGAATAGTTTAATCAAGTATTTTGACGTTGGATTATATTGGGTATCATCTTTTAGGCGAGAAACGGCTCAAACGGGTGAAAAGTAGGGAAAACTATCGGTATGGGTCATGGGATAGAGCGTGGCGATAGTGCCATTGGGCAAAATAGCATGTCAAGGTCGCCAAGGGAGAAGAGGAGCCTCAGTATAATCCGGGGGATTGTGCCTGGCGACAGTGACATGGGCACAATCGCCTGTCACTATCACGAGCGACCTCCAATGCTTAAAATCGGGATTTTCTTCATTTGGCCATAACTTCTTCACCTCTACTCCGTTTTGGGCGATTCAAGTTGCTATGGATCTGTATTTCGAAGATCTTAAGATGGAAACAATGAGAATTGGAGTTTCCTCAAAGAGATAGGGTTCCTACAATATAAGTCGAAAGGTAAGCTTTTGGAGTTTTTGCACCATATTTAGGATTTGGTTCATGAATCTAACTTGGGGTTGCTTTTGATGTATGTTGGTTTTGTTTATGACCTAGATGAAGGTCCTAGTGATGGATGTTGTGGATCTGAAGCTTTCACCAAAGGAAACTCAAGTTGTAGAGTAAAACCTAGATTTACTCTAGCAAGGTGAGTTCAAGTTGATTTGTTAAAACCATTTACAAGCCAAAATTGAGAATTTTGAAGTATTAAAGTGTTTTACTTGATGTTTATCAAATGTGTTGAGTATTTGACTAAGTTTGAACATTTGGTAAATTTGGGTTAGTAAATCTTGTGAAATACCTATAATTGGGTTTTGGATATTTTGATAAACAAATCTCAAGAATGTGAACCTTTGGTGATTTATTGTACAAATGGAGATTTTTGATATAAATGCACTGTTGTATTCGGTTCTATAAACCGTTTGAAAAATGCATGTTATTGTGTTATGGGACATTTTGGGAATACAAATGGTATGATTTAATTGGAAAATAATTTGTCCCAACTAATGATGTGTCTTTGAAACATGTATTTGCATAAATGTCGGTTAAATACGTTTTATTGCTTTTGATGACTTTTATGAAATAGTCTATTGGGTTGTTGAGCTTTCGGCTCGATTTTGACTTAAATGAGTCTTGGGGATATTTGTCCGGTTTAATTTGCTCTATGTCGAGCTTTCGCAGTTATATGCAATGATGGCATAGTCATTTGATATATTACGTTTTGGGTGCGTTAGTAATTCATTTGGTGTCGTATAATTTTAGACTGTAATGCAATGGATCCATAGGCATAGGAGTCAGTTTTATGGAGTACGTGAGGGATGAGACTCTCAAATCGAAACTTGGAAATAGGAATTGTGATTATTATGTAATTTCCAAGTGCACGAGTTTAACTTGAGATTCCTTTTGTTTTATTGGAAATAGGCATTGTGATCATTATGTAAATTCTAATTCATCCCTTACTGTAGCTTGAAAATAGGCATTAGGCATTGCGAGTATTATGTAATTTCCAAGTGAACGAGCTTATTATCTCATTGGACTATAAACTGGATTTGGTTGATGTCATCATGTATCTATCTGACTATAGACTGGATTTGGTTGATGTCATGGTGCACTTAGTGCACTTATCTATAAGCCTATTACCTTATTTGACTATAGACTGAATTTCGTTGATGTCATGGTATGCATATCAATGAGTAATGCTCCCATAACATTAATTTGTGGCTTACTAATGTGTTCCGTCACAATAAATGGTAAATCAGGTATCTCCCGTCATCTTTAGCCATGTTTTCTGTTTTTAATGTTCTATAGCTTTATTCTTGGTCGTGTGAGTATTGGGATTCGGTTGTGTAATTGAGTATTTTGATTTATGGGTGTTCATCAAGTAAATGGTGTGTTGTGCAACGATTTGGCTTTTACGGTAAATACATTTCATTTGCAAAATTGTGATTTAAATCAACAGTCTCTCAGTTTTACCGTTTTATGATTATGATGAGAACTGCTTGAATTCACTAGGCGTCAAGCCTGACCTTTTTCTTTTGTCAGCATGTGCATCAGGTTCGTGGGAAAATGGTACTAGCGACACCGTGATGAGATGAGTGCTAGATAGTTGCACAAGAAGAATTTAGTTTATCATTGAAGTCTTCCGCATTTGGAGATAGCAACAGTTATTGGGTATAGTAACACCCGTCCTTAGCTTAGTCTTTATGTAAGGTTGTCTATCTTATGTTGGTGACGATTTCAGATTTGATATTTGAGGTAATTCAAGCATTGACTAATAGAAAAGGGATTTACCCCTTTATTTGTTGTATTAATGAAAATTTTAAATTAGTTGCTCTTTCCGGATTTGAGGGTATTCCACAATGACCTATGTTGATTCTGAACATTCACATATGAATAATGAATGTGGTGGAGGGGTTGAGTAGTGGAACACTAACAACAATTGAGGATGTTGCAGAAAGCTAGTCAAAGGGTTAGATTAAAGGACTTGATGAAAAACATATACAACCATTCTCCAGCAGGTCATATAACCTGGAAACACGTAATAAACAAGCACGCAAAAAAAGCAAAGAAAAATCAATGGGAAGAAATATATACTACACACACCTGTCACAAAGCTGATGGCAACTGCCTCCAGATATCCAGTCATTGATTGTGTTTTTGTTCTGATTGTTTTAGCTTTTTCAATACAATCCTCAGGCCATTCAAATTTTACAATCTCCTCATCGGCATTGGCATCTTGTGCTTTGTTTGCATTATGTATAACTGATTTCCCAAGGACCAGAAGTTGAGAAACAGCAATGCAACACATTTCTGAAAGTCTCTGCATACACATGATACTCTTGAAACATAAATTTACTTTTCATGACTTTGTGAAGTAAAATATTCAGAAAAACCATATATTCGTACATGAATTCCCTCAGAGTGAAGAGAATCTAGTCTGCCACCAGTTCTTTGAACAATATCACTTGGGGGCAGTCCGGCTAAGGCATTTGCAAAGCTGCATAATATCACTGAAGTTATTAATACCGTGTAGAGATGAGCTTTTTGGATTTCAAATCCTCCACATATTTCATCATCAAAAACCATGTTTTCCCAATCAAAGATCGTTCACAAGCAAAAGAAAAGATACGTAACTACATACAGCTCTTTTCATCTAAATGCAGACCTCACCTCAAGCATGCACACAATAACATTAACACACATAGTAGCCTTCACCGATCCATAACAACAGAAACCGATTATTATGTGAAATCAGTCAGAAATTGACAAATAGCATGTGACATGGCTTTTGAGCAATTAATTGCCTATATTTTATGTGCATGACTTGTAGTTTTTTCACATGTAGAAAATTTAACTAAATGTTGTATCTAGTATATAATTGTAAATTTGCAAAGTATGATAATATCATAAACAAGTGAAGCTAAAGGCACATCGCAATGCAGGTGCATCCAAAAACATAAGACATAGAAACACCTCTCAAATGGAAAATGATAAACATTCAAGTCTAATAACACAATATAGAGTAAGCTATTTTCAATAAAAATCAAAAAGACACCATGATGTTAACACTTGCTTTAACTGGGCCGTTTACCAAACACTTACCCGGGTAAGCGCTTACCAAGTCACATTACCTTACCGGATGAATATGGCAAGGACCAAAAATCTTACCCGGTAAGAGCGAAGGCAAGGACCGAGAGTCTTACCCGGTAAGTGAGGGCGATGACTCTTACCACGGTTAGCGCATACCGGGTAAGTTGTTGAATACGATACCGTTTTGGTGGACTAAAATCTTACCAAGTGATGGTGTTAGATTTTGCTGGTAAGCACTTACCCATGTATGTTGCAGAGAACACAGCAGACATCCAAATAGAAGTAGAGCAAGAAGCAGGAGTAACTTCTCATAAAGTTCAAACATATAGATCAAGAGAGCATTAAAACAACTAGAAAAAAAGTTCAACAATGACCTCAAAAGTTTATTAGATAAAGGTAGGAGAGTAAACACCATAAAATCAATCTCATCATGACAGTCATCCTGTTATAGTACTCCATGCAACATGTATTCTCATAGTGATGAGCCCGCGCAGACTCAGCACACAGCAAATGGAAGACAACCTGACTCTTTTCAGTTATTTACAAATTACTTGGTCGAACTGAAACTCAAGAATCTAGACAAATGGAAGTTTTAGATATTGGAATAGTCAAGGCAGTATTTCCATGTACTTGGTCATTGCCATCATCAGGTGTATAGTATTATATTTCTGTGTTTCATGTCACACAAACAGAGGTCCATGTGATCTAATGCAGATTCAGCAAATAATATAAAGCCAAAACAGATGGCTAGACACACACAGGCTAATGCCTACAATGCTACTGCATTTTTATCCTAGATTATTACTTGCACAAAATATTCTTGATACCGAGAGACTGATAAAGTGAGGCCTGATAAATCATAAATGATGGTATGGAATAAGGTTATAACTTATAAGAAAAAGATTACCCTGCAGCCATTTCTGCAGCCTTGCTCACACTTGAACTATGAAAACTCTTGATCTCATCATAAGAGCTATCATATATGTTCTCTACATTCTTTCCCTTTTCCGACTCTGCACTGTTTCCATCACTTCCAGTGTCTAAACTGAGCATTTGCTGGACCTCTTTAAGCTTTACATCATATGCAGATTTTTGTTCTGTTGACAGCTTTGCTTTTCTTCGATTAAATAACAGGGCATAATGGTTTGATAATGCCTCAAGTTCCTGGAAGTCAATAGTATGACACAGGCTTCAGCTTGAAATCTTCTAAAATTATTTTTAAAAGTGATCAATTTGATAAATAAATAAAAAAGGTGACGTAAGAACATACCTCTAGCTGCTCTGGACCTCCATAGATGTAGAAGCACCTGTCAAATGTGACCTCCTCCAACAACTGATCCTCTTCTGTTTCATGTCCACCTTCTCCAGCATTTTTGTCAATCTCCATGCCTGATTCCGTAATCAAAAGATCAACGGTTTCTTTTCCAACATACTCTAGCACTTGCATGCCTTTAGCAGTGAAAGCTCTTCCGGTCTGTTGAACCGATCCATAACAATAAGAAACAACTAAAAACATAATGTTTTTTGAAGAGATATAAACAAGGGTCTGTGCTAACCTCTAGAAGAGATGGTGTAACAGAACCTGCTGCAGGTATACCACCTTGTTGTATAGAGTTTTCTAGCCTGATGAACGTACAAAATAAAAAAGAATAGGTAAAGGCCTTTTACCCTTTCAGAAACTTTAGTCTTTCGATATACTTTGATTACTTTCTCAAAAATAACCAACCACAAATGCATATGTTCATGTGAAAGGACAGCAATGTGAAAACAGATGCCATTACGCTAACTTACTTCTGAACAAAACTAGAACCCCCTTTCCATGCGTTACCTAGTGCCTGCCAAGCCCCTGAAGCAAAGTTCTCCACTGAAGTGTCAATAGCTTTTATGCCCTGTAGCATAAAAATGAAGACTTACAATAAATCAAACAAATAAGAATCACCAACATGCATGTTTGGTGCATTTCAAGTGGCAAATTAAAGTCTGCTTAAATTGAAGCTCAGGTTGTCTTTGAACCTACTCAACACAAACACATATCAGCATGAATACTTTCATTGGCTAAGAGTAATCAATCATCAGGTACTTCAGCTCAACTCGATTAGTTAAACATAAATGATCATCAAGCCAACCATGATGCTTTTTTGAAAATAATCAAGCTGAGGACATTTAGGGTCAAGCAGAACTATAATTACCTGAGTCGCTTTACACTCATGTGTCAAGAAAAAAGGAACATTCTAACAGGCTACTAAGGGAAGTGAAAGCTCTCCTGAAAGACATATAGCAAGAACATGACACTAAGCTGGCTTGGTATCCCTTGCATAAAATCTCAAACGAATCTACAAAAGCACATCAAACCGTGCAAACAAAGAACGGGAGAATGGGAGATGGAAATACATGCAGCAGATGATCCTATTTCAGGAACCAAGGATCCTATGAGATATATATAGAAGCAAGTTCAACTGATACTTTAACAGTGAGAAAGCATTGCACACATCACTACTATTTACAACTTGCCTGGCCAAGGAACGTGTCCTCACTAGCTTTCTCAAGTTTCTCCAGAGCAGCCTTTCGCTTCTTGTCATCCTCATCTTCACTTTCTTGATCTTTATCAGATGCTTCTGGATGATCCTCCTTGGAAGATTCTGAGTCTTCTAACTCGTTTTGCAAGTCAGAGATACTATTTGCAGCTGTCTTAGCAACCTCAGCAGCCTGTGAAGACAAAACATTGGTCAATAGAAACACAAAACGAATTTTTTGCAAAAATCTACTGATCATGATGGCACATCATGAGATAAATGAACAAAATGAAACACCGACTTCTAGTCGGGTTAGAATAACATGCAGTCCATGACTTAAGATGGTACAAATTATTTGCTTATAGTCGGGCTGTTGATTCTATTCAAGGTATAAGATTCAGGCCTAGATCATATCACATAGGACTAGCTTTTATATTGTGAGTCATATTTTGCACTAATCCACCACCCAAAAAGCAACAGAGGACAAACATGACCTTCATTCACACAGCGCATTAACTAAGATTGTAAATCCAAGAACTTTGTTGATTCGTCATCAGAAAGGCAGGAAGCTTCATACAGAGCTTGCAGATGAAATATAAGAGTATACTTTTTTGGTATAAATAGTCCGACATGTGCGAGTGAAACTTGAACACCAACACCAGGCAATACTTCCTTCAAATGAATACATTTATTTTTAATCCATTAGTTACTACAGAGGCATTCATCCTTCTTAGGACCAGATGGACCATGGCCTTATAGACTTGCAGGCCTATTATGGTTATAAAATTTCCTAATGCAATAGATGTATTTAGAGGTCACACAACAATAAATAACAAGTCTTTTATCTCAAACGAGTTGCAGTAGGATAACATGAACTACAAAATTAATAGAAGTGGAGAAAATCAAGGCCATTCCATACACACATACGTGTGTATATATAGAGGCACAATCATTTGTTAACCAAGTAAATAGTATTAACTTTACAAACTCATATGAGCCATTCATTTTTTGATCAACGGTTATGGTTAAATGGTGGGTTATAAAAAGTTGAAAAGGGAAAGAAATGAAATTGAATTAAATGGAGGTAAATTTTGGAACAAATTGTTTTTATTTTTGAAAGATAATCATCAACCACTCTCTCTTCTCTCTCTCTCTCTTGTTTCATCTATGAACTTTGATTGTTCCGATTTTTACCGAAGTTCACAGGTGAAACAAGAAAGTTAATAGGCGAAACAATGATTTTTGTTTAAATTTCATAATGTTATTTCGTGTATGAACATTGGTTGTTCCAAAAATTTACCAAAGTTCATAGGTGAAACCAGAAAGTGAATCGGACAATTAAGGAGGTTTAAACAAAGTTCATAGGTGAAACAAAGATATTTATTAAAAATTCATATGTGAAACAATGATTTTTGTTTAAAGTTCTTTAAGCATGAGATAGTTAAAGAATGTGATAATTAAGTAAATGAGATAATTGATGAATGTTGTATCAATGTATGAAAGAGACGAAAATACCCCAATTAGCAAAGTTTGTACTAATTAGTTGATTAACAAAAAGAGGTGCTTCTCTCTCTCTCTCTCTATATATATACACATATATACATATATATTTATATATATATATATATGTGTGTGTGTGTGTGTGTGTGTTGGAAACGTTCAAATTTCATTTGGCTACTTGCACATGTTACTGTTCGCCTACCCCTAACTCTCAGTCTCATACCCCCCCCCCCGGCACCCCACCCTTTTAGGGCATACCCTTCTTCCGAGGGAACTTAGAAGAACATATTTTGAATATGCTCAAACCATGTGAGGTGGAGTTACACTAGTTTCTCTTCAATCAGAGTCCCCCAATCTTGTCCATAATATCCTAATTTTGAATCTTATCCGTCCTCCTGTGTCCACATATCCACCATTGCGTTTTTGTTTTTATCACGCTCATTTTGTATGTATGTTATCTACTGATGATCCAACCCATATATTATAACAGGTGTAACATAAACACCTTAATATATCAACTTAAATAACCTATAAATGATGTGTTTCATGCTTAGTATTGTTTAATGGTTGGAATAATGAAGTAAAGGTTGGAACACCTTCGAACACCTTAGATGTCAAGAACACAAAGTGTTGTTCTCTATGGGCATTGATGTGCAAAGTATAGTGGCTATATAAGAAAGAATTTGCACAAATGTTTTTCTAAGATGAATTTTGAAAATTTGAGAGTTTGAGGTGAAAAGTAGACTCAATAAGGAACGTGTGGGCTAAAACCTCATCAAAAACAGAGATCCGAGCGAAAAATTATGAATGTTTAAGTATTTGATGGTCAAAGTGGGTACCCAACCGGGTCAAACCCGACCCAACTCCGGTTTCAGCAACCCTAAGTTAAAAGAAAACGATTTTGGCCCTATTTTTCTTCCCCATTTCATTTCTAACTTCTAGAGACTTCAAGAGCATCAATCTTGAGTGTTTTTACAAGAAATTGGTGAGATTTTGCAAGATTATTGAAGATTCCAAACGTATACTTCCATTTTTGACTATGTGCTCAATTTGAGTTCAAGAAACCATGAAATTAGGGTTGCTTGTTGAGGATTATAAGTTGAAATCTTGATATTATGTAGGATAGATAATAAATAACTTATTATCTTGTTGAAATCATGATATAGTTTGAAAAAGTTTGACTTTTGATAGTCAATATTGTATGATGATGAAATAGATTGGATGTTTGGTAAAAGAATGATAGATTCATGATAATTTCGAATAAGTTATGGTAATATAAGACTAACATATGAATTTGGTACAAAATGGTTTGGGATTTTACATGAAATTGTGAAAAAAATAGCTATTTTCGAGTTAAAAAGTCATAATACAGCTCTGTATTAGAAAAATCATAGAAAATCATAAAAAAAATCACAAAAGTATGAGGTCAGAGGCATTGCAAAGCTAAGAAATAGTACTACAAACTGTCTTTTGATGCTATTCTGTGATTATGAGGTTTTCTAGGGTAAAACAGGGCTTGAAAACAGAGCTGTGCAAGGGAATTTTAAAGTGTAATTGTCAATTGAAAAGAGTTTAGATGGTGTAAATGGTAATGTTTGCTTATGATACTTGGTATGTGTACTCCAGGGGTTATATAAATCACATTGGGAGCTTGTGACAAGTGTTTGCACTATGGAAACTCGGAGTTGGATCGAGGCTTTCGGTTTGATCAACCGAATAGATTAAGCAACACTGTGAGTTTATGTGGACATATGGGTGTATTTATGATTATGGATGCTTATTTGCTTTCTTGTTCATCCATGATTCATGTTAGTTCTTGAATATCCCCTTGAATTGTCTTATTGCTTGTATTGTCTTGTGGTACGTTTTGGGCGCCGATTGTCAACATCCCATGGATTAGGGTGAGACAATCGGAAAGGCTGCCGTACTCACCACCCAGTGGGAGTCATGGGGTGAGTATAGGACTTTGGCATAATCTTGGAGATGAAGGGCGGATTTGGTGTCAAGTCTTATGTTTGTGTGTGAAGTTAATTGGTATTTGACCCTGCATGATCTTGAGGATGATGTTGATTGTAATGATGTATTTCTATCTTGAAAATTCCTTTGTGATTTCCCACATTTAAAGTACGATGTTGTAAATGACATTATGTGTTATAACTAAGTTGTTGTGTCGTTATGCAAACTTTCTTTCGAGTCCTTCTTCGTTTCCTAGTATGTTCCCTTATATAACATATTGTAACCACATATTTCCACATGAATTCACTAAGCTTTATCGCTTACCTTTTAGTGGTTTTAACTTTTCAGGACAAGTTGACAAAAGTAAGAATAAGGTTAGTTGATCGATTAGGGATTGGCGTGTGAAGCCTACTTTTGGTATAGGTATATGTTATACTTTTGGGTTGTATATAGTTTGTATGTTTCGGGTAGACATGTCCCTGATGATTATATTATGGTTTGTTATGTAAATATTAAGCTTTAAATTATGTATTTCAGGTTGTAAACCGTTATCCCGTATTTTGAGGTTTTCTGAAACTAAATTAATTTAATGATGGTTGTTTGTTATGTAACCGCAGTGTTACAACAGGCCTCATTGTTTCACTATAAAAATTATCCATCAATGTATTTGCATCTTAGCACTCATACAAAAGGACCTATATTTCTTGCCACTTCAACCACCCTGCTATGAATATGATCCTAAGTTTAACATCTCCATCAAATTTTCAACAATTAGCTTCATATAGCATTTTAGGCACTTTCTGTCCATACATGATTACCTTTTTTAAGTTTTATCTACCTATAACGTTAAAGTTTTACTTACCATGTATACAACAAGAGTTCATTATCTTAAGCAAATCACCCTGCTTCTGCCAAACATCATCCATCTCCATCTTATATACCCAACACCCATCCACTCAGCAATTATATTTCACTACAATACCATATGCATGAGTCTCTTAGTGACCCAAGATTTTAAAACATAATGAAAAAGCTATGGTACGATGAAGCAAAAAAGCTATGGTATGATAAGCAGTTAGTACATTTTAATAAAGCAAGGTATTGCACATCAATTTATCACCAATCAAAAACACGTGTAGTCCTTGATGAAAAAACATGCTTAAAGAATGAGAATGAGCCACAACACTTCTATACTAAGACAACCATGTATTATTAACTTCCAATAAACTTAAAGAATCAACTGATAACAACTTAACCAATTCAAAAAACAAAAGCATCACCAGTGGTCTCACAAATATATTATACTTCAACTTCAAAAAATGATACTCCCCTTCCACCAAAGAAGAAATGCTTTCACTTCGTATGCCAAACATGTCTATTGGTGAACTTCAAACTCTAGTCGGGATATCAAATAGGGTACTTTCTAGATCCAAAACTTTCCATTTCGTGTGTTTTGCTTAAGTTATCTATTATAAGTACTATGAATAAGATCCTATCTGGTAAATTTGCAACAAAATGAATACAAAAACTTCAACTAAAAACTACTGATTTGAGACCAAAGCTCACAAGGTAACTCCCTCAATAAACTGAAAGCGTATCCCCATCAAAAACATTTGGGAAAAGCTTAACACTTTATAACAGTCGATACAAGAAACCAACGTCCGTATTTCTTCAGTAAAAAAAAAAGTTCATTGATCAGGAAAAATTTCTTCGAAAACCTAGATCGGGCAAGGGTTTGTGAGAGTGGGAGTAAAACCCTAATTCAATTAACATGTTTGTTGGGTAAAAGACTTGAAAATGCAATACATTATGAAAGGAAAAGAGCATTACATTGCGAGAGATCTCCTCAGCAGCTTTCTGAAGATCTGAAAGAACAGAAAAGGCAGAGAAACCCCATCCCCAACCACCACCGGCATGGTCGTCTTCTTTGGGATGCTCCACCGGTACTTTATCTTCGACGGGCTGTATCTCGTCGGTGGATGAGGATTTTATGGTGGCGTTGGCTTCCATTTTTAGAAGGTTTTTGTGATCTGCAGGAACAATTGAGTTTTGGTGAATCGCGTGTTTGTTGGGTCTCAACTAGTACGAAAACCACTTCGGATCTCGAAGACTTCAACTTCACTACTCGTACGGCCTCGTTCCAATGCCCTTCAAAATCAAAACCATAATTAAATAATTTGTTTATTAACTACGATTTTTTATTTTTTTTTATTAACATGGATATCTAACCTGTTATATGAGTCGATTAATCTCAGAGCGACCATCTGCTTTGTAGATAACCAGAGTCACAGCATTTGAACCTCCATGACCACAAGAAGATTTTTATTCCTTTTTGGATTTGAAATTTTTGGTTTTCGGTTAGGTTCAAATGATCGTTTGATTTAATATTGATTATTAATTATCTTAAGATAACCAACATACATAAATATTTTGATGTATCAAAGTATTAATCTGACTAACTCAACCTAACCAGTACGGTTTGAAGTTGGGTTTAGTTGAGATTTTTTGAACTGTAAATATTGGGTTAGGTTGTTCAAATGTTTTCAACTTGTGTGGGCCTCTAACTCCTACCTTTAAAGTGAGACGAAAATAACACTAACTTCTAAACCATGAATTCGTCAATAAATTATAAGTCATAAGAAGAAAACACGTAATTTAAAAATACAGGGACAAAAATATCAGCTTTCAACAAACCAAACGGAACAAAACACACAATTTACTCTTAAAAGATATTCATATCATTCTATATTTATTTTAAAAGACGGTTTTTTGTAATGATTTCCGTACATCAATAATAAAAAGGATTTGATTTACTTATTCACAACTAAAAGAAATTCACTTCTTTCTAAAAAAACACACACAGATGGTGTAACACCCCAAAGCCCAAAGCAACGAACTAACCCAATAACTTCGAATCCAACTTAAAACCATGGTGGAAGTTATTAGTAGCCCACTACTTGGGACTTATAAGGAGCTAACAATTTCTCACTTTCTATCCATGTGAGACGAGTTGTTACAAACTTCCCCACTTAAACTTCTGACGTCCTCGTCAGGCTTATCCAGAATCTTCCTCCTTGTCATCGGCAATGTGGGATTTGCCTAAGATGTTACAAACACCCCCTCTCGAAGACTCATCATACCCGATGAGGTTTGCCCCACCATCCCGATAGTACAAGGATCAACTATGATACCATTTGTAACACCCCAAAGCCCAAAGCTACGAACTAGCCCAATAATTTCGAATCCAACTTAAAACCATAGTGAAAGTTATTAGTAGCCAACTACTTGGGACTTATAAGGAACTAACAATTCTCACTTTCTATCCATGTGGGACGAGTTGTTACAGATGGGGATTGACCTTCACTCGGTCCTTTGCCCTCGTTGTGATAGCGTCGTCAAATTAATGGACCATTGCTTTGCGATTTTGCTCAACGACATTGGTGTTGTGGGGCGGAATTTTAAAGTGGTGGGACCTTGCCCTTCGGACAATTAATTCAATTTCAGACGTTTTTACTTTGGCCGAGTTCTTTCATGCTTCGTTCCCCTACAAGTAAGTTATGGGCAGTCGTTCTTTAGATCACCCTTTACTCGATCTGGAGCTTTCGAAGTAAACTCCTGTTTGATAGTTCTCGTGGCTGGGAAAAATTGTTGATCAAAATCCAACTTGCCTCTTTTCGTTGGTTGTCCCATCGTGCCAAAGCTTTCTATGGATTTTAGGCATTATGGTGTTGTAATTCGACTGCTCGTTTTCGTGTTTGGTCTCAGTTGGTTGTTTATTTTTTGTTTCTCTTTCGTATTGTTGGATGTCTCGTGTAGGATGTTGCTTGGGTTTAGTTGTGGCTTATCTCCTTTTTACGTCTTGTAGATGGAGGCTTCAGCTTTTTCTTATTGGTTTTGTTTTGTTAAACATGATTGGTTTTTTTATAATTGTTGTCTTTAAAAAAAATACGAATATTTGAATTTAAATAATTATAATAAAAAATAATAAAATGTCTTTTAATTATATTTTCAAAATAATTATAACATCCTTTATTGGACTCATCTAATTCGATAGTATCTGTAATTTCTTTTAAATACAACTTTTGTCATTAATTATAATATATATATATATAGAGGTTTGTTCAAATAGAAACCAACCATATGGTACAAACTATGGAAACCGATCTTGACCAATCACATTCTTTCTTCACTTTAGGTTCAAATCTAAATTTTAAATTAATGATAAGGGTAATTTGGTAATTCAACCTTTTTGTAACCCCCAATAATTAATTGGGAGTTACAAATCTTAAAAGATACATTTAATTGTTCATGAGATTTTTATGATTTCTTTATTATTTCATGTTCATGGTATTCATTTCAATTGATTTTATACATATATTGAAATTGGTAGTCTACATGTACAAGATTTTCATTTCGTTCAAGATACATGGAGAATCCTATTGTAAAAGAATGTCGGAATAATGAATACGATAAACGCTTGCAGTCTATGTTCATATCTGCACACATGCACAACGA